CCCCAGGATGCTTTCATGTAAGTTTCAGCTTTTCTGGCCCAGTGGTTCTTGAGAAGAAGATTTTTAAAGATTTTTCCTATATATTTCTATGTAAAACTTTGATTCCCCATTGTGGCCCCGCCCAACCCCCAGGGGTCATGATTTGAACAATTCAGAATCTACATTACCCCAGGATGCTTTCATATAAGTTTCAGCTTTTCTGGCACAGTGGTTCTTGAGAAGAAGATTTTTAATATTTTTCCTATATATTTCTATGTAAAACTTGGATTCCCCATTGTGGCCCCGCCCAACCCCCAGGGGTCATGATTTGTACAATTTAGAATCTACACTACCCAAGGATGCTTCCATATATGTTTCAGCTTTTCTGGCCCAGTGGTTCTTGAGAAGAAGATTTTTAAAGATTTTTCCTACATATTTCTATGTAAAACTTGGATTCCCCATTGTGGCCCCGCCCTACCCTGGGGGTCATGATTTTAACAATTTAATATCCACACTACCCCAGGATGATTCCATATAAGTTTCAGCTTTTGAGGCCTAGTGGTTCTTGAGAAGAAGATTTTTAAAGATTTGTTCTATATATTTCTATGTAAAACTTGGATTTCCTATTGTGGCCCCGCCCTACCCCAGGGGGTCATGATTTCAACAATTTAGAATCTACACTACCCCAGGATGCTTCCACATAAGTTTCAGCTTTTCTGGCCCAGTGGTTCTTGAGAAGAAGATTTTTTAATGAACCCACCCTATTTTTGTCTTTCCTTGATTATCTCCCCTTGTAAAGGGATTTGGCCCTTCATTTTAACAATTTAAATTCCCCTTCACCCAAGGATGCTTTGTACCAAGTTTGGTCAAAATTGGCCCAGTGGTTCTTGAGAAGAAGTCGAAAATGTGAAAAGTTTACGGACGGACAGACGGACGGACGGACGGACGACGGACACAATGTGATCAGAAAAGCTCACTTGAGCCTTCGGCTCAGGTGAGCTAAAAAGCTTTCACGCTCGTTAACCCTCGTTTTACTGCTTCTAACATCAGTGCATTAGCCAATCAAAAAGTGTTTTACTTAAACAATTGCATTAGAATAAAGACTCTACCTCATGGCTACAACTTTCGGAGAAGAAAACATTTCTTGCAGGGCTGCATTCACATGCGTCATTCCGACCAGAGATAGTTTGGTCTTGGACGGGGACAGACTCTCTGTGATTTCTGTAGCTCTGCGACAAATGTCCAGGGCTCGCCTGGCATCCCCCGACACTGCTGCCACTTTTCTGGCTGCCAGCTGAATGGCATCCTCCTCAAAGGCCTTCAGTCCCTTCATTCTGGAGATCACTATCTCCTGGAGCTGTTTGAAGGTGTACGGCTGGAATGTCATTCTTGTTAGCCCCTAGATAAATAGAGGATATTCAATGTTTTGTAGTTGAATATGGAAATTATTTCACGAGTGGGACAGGATTTTTTCGCACTCGTGAAAATATCAAAAAATCCTGTCTCACGAGTGAAATAAATTCCATATTCAACTACAAAAACATTGAATTTTCTGTTTATTACATTTTTAAAAATTTCTTTGATTTTTTCTTTGCCTCTGTCTTTTTGTAATACAGTCATAGGCTACATGACGTCATAGTTGAGTGGTTGAGACGTCATAGCTAAGTGGGTGAAAACATTGTAAACATGGATTTATCAACACTTTTTGGGTAATTTTTAGAGTTTTATTCTCTGTCGGAATAGTTTATTTATCTTTTTCTATCTTATATCAGGTCAAGGAAGATTTTTCTTTTACAACACTCTCTGCTATGGGAAGGAAAATCGCGAGTTTTACCGCACTTTTGATATTCGTCACACTGAGACAGGATATCATTTTGATATCCTTTCACACTGTGACAGGATATCATTTTTATTCAATGAATAAATTACAGTATTTCACTGGTAAAAATGTAATAATTAAACATATTAAATGGCTAGATTAACTGGTTTTCAAAATTAATTATAGTTTGCTTTACAAAAAAAAACATTTTTCTGTTAAACTTCTGTGCAAAACATGGTTATGTGATAAAGACATTTCAACTACTGAATAAGGATTATTTAAATCAAAATTAAGGTCCAATTCAAGCCAAAATTGTATGTCTTCAACCATGAAGTTATTTCTCCTTGAACTATTGAATCCTTTTTTTTTTCTTTAAACCTAAAAAATTTGACCCTATGAAAACAAGTGATTTTACAGTACATGTTCATCCTTTATTTTTATCTGACTACATTCAGTAATTAAAACCAGTAATTTAATGGCTTACTAATCTGCTTGAGACTCTTTTCATCATTATGCGTTCTGGTAAATCCATAGTGTTAGCTACAGCTAGAACTACCAGGCGAGCATGACGGTGTGATGGCCAATCAAAGATATTATACATCACATCCTGTTTCCTTGTCCACAAAAGGTCTAGCTAAAAGGAACAAAAAAATCTATTTTACAACATCAAAGACTACCTACCAATTATGCAGGCCTTGTAACTGTTTAAATCATTTTATTCTCCTAAAGATAAAGTTTCCAAGTTATAATGTTTCATTAAGAAGACTTCATTGTAAGTCAACATGCTTTATCTCACCTCATCGGCCAACATGACAATAGTTTCTTTACGAGGTCCCGGGGTAGTAAATTTCTTGTTCAGCAAATCAGCTGCATGGTCAGGGGTAGCTTTCTGATTGGTCAGTTGCTATAATATACAAACAAGCAATTAAGTTTTGTGTGTGCAGTAACACATTTTTCAATCTTCAATTCATATGGTACACGACTTCCCAAGTGTAACTGCATTCTAAAGAGCACACACAGTCATAATCTTTTTCCAGACAGAAATGTGAACTGTCTCACACTAACCTGTAAGATTTGTACATAAGCCTGACGGGGTTCTGTTAATTTCATTCCATTGACGTCAATGTACTTAAAGCCTGGTAGTTCCTCCTGTTCTGTCGCCTGATGGAGGGCCCGCACCACTTCATGTACCGTGGCAGTCTTACCTGTACCAGGGACTCCAGATATGTACATACACCTGCAGATAAATTTAATGTTCATTATCAAAATCTCAATTTCTTTTATATGGAAGAGGTCCATGGGCATTGATGGTCACCTGTTTATCATGAGTTTTTATTAGGCCATTACCAACTCTGCTAAAACTGGAATTCTAAACTTGTGAAGTGAATTTTAAATCTTTCTGAGGAGTTTTAAAGACCTGCCAAAAACCTACATGTGTAGGTTTTTAAAAATAAAAATAGAAGACATTTGAAGTGAATAGAAAACCTTGCTCCATTTTTGACCTTGAGCTGTGCTCATGGACATAAATTACTACTCAATCTAGTAAAGAAGAGCACTTGGCCTACTGCCATTATGCACACACGATGCTTGATTAAAATCAGAAATAAATTTATGTTTTGTAATGGAACAGAGTATAATGAACTTTTTGCATGACCAACATAGTTTCAGCCTAAGGACTAAACTTGTATAATAGACACTCATAAAAATTATGCAAGATGACACCCCTTCAAAGATTTTCCATGCAGTAATTAAATTTTAATACCAACTTATCCCATCCCTGTCTGGGCCTAAACCCTGGACAAGGTGCCATAAATTTGCAAATTCTTGAAGGCTTAGTATTTATAGGTTGAAGTTTTCATGTGAGTACTCACCCTCCAGTTCCATCTAAGATTTTACTCTCCACAAAGTTATAAATATCCTGAAACTCTGTCTCTCTACATGGAAGAGAATCTGGAACTGCTGATACATGTAACCTAAAAGGAAAAAAAAGGGTTTACTAAAACTGATCCACAAGTGAAACAAATTCTGATGAATTCATAATACCGATTAATACTGCATTATTAAACCAGAAGTCTCTGTCGAGACTGTAGCTCTACTGGTTTGTACTTATATCAAGGGATGAGAAAAGAAGCCATTGCCATCAGACCAAAACTGTAGGAGGAGTAGCGTTATACAAGGAATTTTACAGAAATTTCTATTTTTAGTAACCATGGCATCACTGTTCATCAAAATCAAAAACCGATGCACTAAATCATGTATCTTAGTGTAGTCTACTTGTTTGCAAAGTTATAGTAAAATCAGACTAAAACTGTAGGAGTAGCATTTTACCGGAATTTCACAGATATTTCTATTTTTAGTAACCATGGCATCACCGTTCTTCGAAATCAAAAACCGATGCACTAAATCATGTATCTTAGTGTAGTCTACTTGTGTGCCAGGCTACATTAAAATCAGACTAAAACAGTAGGAGGAGTAGCATTTTAAAGGAATTTCACAGAAAAATCTATTTTTAGTCACCATGGCAAAACTGTTCATTGAAATCAAAAACCGATGCACTAAATTATGTATCTTAGTGTAGTCTACTTATGTGCCAAGTTATATTGAAATCAGACCAAAACTGTAGGAGGAGCATTTTACAGGAATTTCACAGAAATTTCTATTTTTAGTAACCATGGCAACACCGTTCTTCGAAATCAAAAACCGATGCACTAAATTTTGTATCTTAGTGTAGTCTTCTTGTGTGCCAGGCTATACTGAAATCAGACTAAAAACAGTAGGAGGAGTAGCGTTTTAAAGGATATTTTCAGTAACCATGCCAACACTGTTCATTGAAATCAAAAACGAATATACAGAATTATGTATCTTAGTGTAGTCTACTTACGTGCCAAGTTATATTGAAATCAAACTTAAACTGTAGGAGGAGTGGCATTTTAAAAAATTGTTTACAGACGGACAGACAGCTAGACGGACGGATGACCGACACCTTACTGTCGCATCAGCTCCTCTGGTCTCTGACCAGTAGAGCTAAAAATAAAATGCTTTAATTGTGAGAATGAGAATTAATAGTGCAGCTACTGCAAAAAAAAAAAAATACATAACACATGTAAGCAGGTTGTTAATGCATAAACACTGCTTCAAGAACTTGCCCATTGATCTATACAAATAAAAGTTTAAAATGTACAACTATCTGAAAGTAAACTTTGAAAGTAGATTATTGACCTAACTACACACTGTATGCATTCTCAGAAGAATCAGCTGCATGAAACTCATTATTACCTAGATCTTGCCTCTTCTAGAACATTGGAAGGGGACATTAACGGTTCACATCTCTCAGGGATCTTTGGAGTGGCACAACTACTGCCTTTCTGTTCAATGTAACAAAAAGTCAACACCTCATATTTGGGACAAAAATTATACTTCTTGGCATAATTATATTGGTAAAGTAACTTTTTCCTATTAGACATTATATACAAATTTTTAAGGACATGTTGCTAAATTTGCCTCAAACTAAAAATTTCACTGACGGTATACATAATCTTGTTTTTTTACCCTTTGTTTTTTGGCCCTGGGTGTGGTTGTCCTGTTGGGGGTGTTGGTCCTGCTTGTTCTGGAAGTTTTCTTTCTTGTCGGTTCACTAAAGTCGGACAGATCACTATCTGTGTCACTGTCTGAAGGCAGGAAGACCTCGTTTTTACCTACAGGTGAAAAGTCTGCATTCTCGTCGTAAGAAATAGCCCTGAAATAAACAAGATATGCTTTTGAAACACTTATATTTCATAGATATATTAAATGATTTAAATTAATCTAAGGAAGCACTTTTATTGTATATACATGTACTATACATTAAACTGAAACTTTTATTTGGTCTCTTACTTGCTTCTTTTTCTCAGATTTCGAGAAGCTGGTGTTTCTGGTCGTGAGGAATCAAACTGTTGTGTCAGCCTTTTTCTGGCCGGCCTGTCCGTGCTCTCCGGGGTCTTGTTCCTGTGGGACTGGTACATGTTATCTGAGATCCTCTTAATTACCACCTTCTGAACCTTCTTCTGAGCCTTAGTGGCAGACTTAGGTTGAGGTTTAGTGTCATGTGCCGAGAAAGAAACTCTTCGGTTCAGGTGTCGAGGTTCTGTCCGGCTTAAATGAGCCAGTTCCGGTTTCTTCTGGGGGGTGAGTATCGATTTTAAGGGCATGGATTTATTGCTCGGAACACTGGAGACATCAGAGGATGCAGTTGATATTAGAGATATGGCATCACTGTCATCATCCATTAACATAGAGGCTACATCCTGTGCTTCTATTCTCCGTCCCAAAAACTGACCAGTCGACTTTCTTCTATCTATAAAAACATGCATATTTGAAAAAGATGCAAAAATCTAGGCTCATATCTTTAACCTTAATCTCATTTTGAAAGACACTTAAAAGACATGTTTTACCAGATCTAGTAAGAGCAATGATTTCAAGAGTGTCTAACCTGGCAGCTTCTTCACTTTTGGCACCAAAGAAGTGAGGACATCTGAGTCCACCTTGTTGTCATTACTGACTGGAATGACATTCAACATACTACTTCTTTCCTGTAGTTGCCGAGCTGGAAGCCCTCCAAAAGATCTCCTTGTTTTGGGTCTCACATCTTCATTTTCTTTGTACTCCTTTGAGTTTTTCTGTGTTGGCTCTTTTCTTGGAGTTTTGTTTTTGACATCTTCCAGTTCTTGAAATTTTGTCCCATCAAATGTCTTATTAAACACATAAGTTTTTAACATATTTTTTGACTGCTTTTCTTCTAAATCACCCTGAAGTACCTTTCAAAAGGATGAAGTCCACAGAATTAGATAATTTTAGTGACAAAATCTACATTTTTATATCACTTAGATTGGCCCATTAAATGTTTAAGCATGTACTTGCAAACAAAGAACAGATAAAACCATTGACTTTTAATACAGTTCCAAAGTTTAATGGTTCAAAAAACTTACTTTGCACTTGCATAAAACAGTTTCAGGGTCTATTTCTCTTTGAACATTTCTGCTGACATTTAGGAATACTTCATTGGACTGTATTCTGCCATATTTCTTTTTACACCTTTTTAACATGGATTCCGTCATCTCGTCTTGTGTCCAATACCACTGTACCTCTGCAACATTCTGTTCACCTAAAATGGTACAGTGAAAAGAAAAAATTAAAATGTTCCGACATGGAAAAAAAATTAATTGGCCATTTACTGCAACAAAAGTTCCATAAAACCTTGTTTCTTCAACTTACATCAATGTATATTCAACTTACCACTATACGATAAACGACTTTTCAAACATGTATACTCTAAATGACTTTTTATTTGCGAGTACTTTATTTTCGCGTAATTACGCGAAAAAGTGTGCTCGCGAAAATTTAATCCTTGCATATAAGAGCATTCCTTAAGATTATATAGAGCACTAACCACAATTCGTGAAAATTTTGTCTCACTAATCAAGAGACTTTGACTATCTTGCTAAAATAAGGTGTCGCGAAAATTTAGTGATCTACAGTATCTTTTGATTTGATTTGAACATATTTTATCATGTAACAATTACAAATACAAATATTTTATTGGCACAAACACAATTACAGTAATTGGTAAAGGTCCAATTACATAAACAGATTGGGCAGCAGGCATAGCCTATATAAGCCCTCTCCACCAATACCTTTTACTTGATCATTGAATTAGACTCAGGTGTTTCTAACATTTTGTTTGAAATGCTATTGTTATATTATAAGCGATTACCATCAGAATACAGGTCTTCAAGTTTGGCAACATATGCTGATTCTAAAGGATCTTCTTGGAAGTCATCATTGCTGCTAGCAATCAGAACAAAGTCTCCAATGCTGTATTGTTTCTGATTCAACTGAAATTGTCTGAAAATAAAATTTTCCTTCTATTAGTAATGGATCACTTTCAAAGTTAACACTCTGATCTGAGTCCTTCTGAGATAAATTGACATTTGAGTTATTAAAACTTAATTAAGGCCAACAAAGGGACAAAGAACCCCCTCCTGGGAAGGAGTGATCTCAAATTTTCTGTTTTGCGTGTCACACCTTTGTCAAAGACATTTTGTATAATATCACTTCTCTTTAATATATAAAATTACAAATATAAATTTAAAGTTTAAGATACTTATTTTTACAGTATAACAGGTCCAGTCCAAAGACTATTTCTACCTACGTAGCTATTAATAGCTATGTAGGTATTTAAACCTATCCAAAGTAGATATTTTTACCTACTTTTTGTATTTTCTGCATTTTATGGCCAAATGCATGAAAGGCGCAACATGGTGGGCACATAATTCCTTGATACAGTCAGACTGATGATGGATATGACAAAAATTTGGACAAAAAATGATTACTTCGTACATTATCAATTTTGCATAGAAAGTAATGTAAAATTGCCGCTTCAGGAAGAAATCATTTTTTGACCAAAATTTTGTTGTATTCATCATCAATGTGACTGTATCAAAATATATGGTATTCAACATGTGGCACCCTTTGGCCTTTTGGTCACAAAATGCAGATAATATAAAAAGTAGGTAAAAATAGCTACTTTGGGTAGGTATAAATACCTACGTAGCTATTAATATCTACGTAGGTAGAAATAGTCTTTGGACTGGACCTGTATAAATTAAAGTAAGATTCTTAATAATGTAATGTTTTTGTTTATGTATGTAAATATGCTACAGTTGTTAATAAAATAGGATATTATTTTTGTTTATTTGATAAGCCCTAACCATGGTACCTGATTAGCACCCTTATCTTGGAAGTCTAATTAGTGTCCTAATTATGGTGCTTATCAGATGCCCTAAATGTATCAAGTGTCTTGACACCTAACAATGGTGCAGAGGCCCTAATACTTGGAGCTGATTGCCCTAATAGGAGCCCTAATGATGGAGCCGATTGCCCTAACAGGGTGCCCTAATGATGGAGCCTAATGCCCTAACAGGTGCCCTAATGATGGAGCCTAATGCCCTAACTAGGTGCCCTAAATCACGTTAGGAGTCAGACAGGGTATATAAGGAGAGAGAGAGTTAGTGAGTTGAAACACATTGCTTGTACTGGATTGTAAATTACGTTTGGATATTATTAATACACTTGTTGAAACGAACTCCGTCGTTGTTCTGATGTTAGATCTATAAAGATCTAAAGTTCCTAGCTTCTACACGGGATCCACAATATTTTGTGACACGGGTATACACAAACACACCATAGAGAGGAAAACGTCACGATTGGTGGCAGCGGTGGGATTCAAAGAAGTCATTCTACGTGTAACACAGGAACGAGACAACATAGAGTTTGAAATGGAGACACCCGTCATAAGGAGGAGAATTACGCCTAGAAAGGTAGGACAGTACTTCGACAGTCCAGCTCCTCTGAATGACTCTGGAATAGAGGTCGATGCAGGGTGTAGAACAAGTTTGCAGCCCACAAGTCGAGTAATGCCAGACAATCCTAACTTTCAGGAGTTCAGGCAAAATTCGCAGGGTCTTTCTGTTCAAAACGAGTACAATCCAAGGCCAAGCTTAAAGAGAATCCTATTTATTTGGGTACTCTTTGCTTTGATAGGATGTTCCCTGATGGTGATGACCTGGATCTATTTTCCAGAAAATGAGATCGTGCAGGAATCTCAAGAAAATGCAGTAATTTCTCTAGTATCGATAACGAGTATGATATTGCTTGTTATGGTAATCAGAGTAATATGGAAGTATGGAGAATTAGGTCTGCCGAATGCCAGTAAGGAAATTTCTTTGATACCTAATGATACACCCTATACTGGTGGTAGTGCACCTAATGCCCTTACAGGTACCAATCAGGAACCTAAAATTTTTGGGCAATCTGGATGCACTACTCCTTATTTGGGTAATCTGTCTCCTCAGGGACTTGGGTACAATTTTGAAATTCCTATGGCTTGCGGGACACCTAGAAACAGTCCTATGACACTAAATGCTGGTCAAAGAACCAATGATTATCCACTGAGAAGAACATTCTCTGGGGTCAACAACGATGTTTGGGATGAGTTTTTGCGGTATTTTGAAAATATTGCAGAACTAAACTCATGGAGACCCAAGAAATCCCGCAGAGTTTTGCTCAGCACCTTGAGAGGACAAGCTGAGAGCTAGGCATATGGAACGCCTGTTGCTATACAGTGTGATTATGAGCAACTAAAGGAGAAAATGAATCAAAGATTTTGACATTCTGCAATGAAAGAAAAATATATTGCGGATGTAAAATTAAGGAGACGACTACCGGATGAGTCCCTGCGAGATTTAGGACAGGCCATCGAAGAAGATTTGTACCGAAGGGCCTATCCAGGAAATCCAGATTTAATTGAAGAAAATGCTATACAGTCCTTCTTAGATAAGTGTGGACAATCTGAGGATTTTTGACTCGCAGTAAAACGGACCAGACCCAGGACACTTCAAAAAGCAGTTTTAAATGCAGTGCAAGAAGAGTGCTTTCGAATTGGGGAAAAAGAACTGCCAAAAGAGACAAAACCAGGCTATAAGCCTGTGTATGAGATTGAAGATGGGGAATTGAATAATGAAATAGCAGCTGCAGATACTGCCAAACCTCCAAGCGCGGGTGACAGATTCAACAGTATCTATAAAAACATGAGAACCGCAAGTACATGTACCAGTACAGGTCCAGGGAGGAGGGGACGCCCTTACAGCCCAGAGAGAAGGAAGAAGACTTCAACAAAGTGACACCTCTCGAGACCATAATTGTGTTGAAAAGAGAACTGTCAGGAATTATTTAAACTAAAGATGACTGATGCCGGAGGCCAGGTGTCAGTCGGTTCTAGACGGCCTAAAAACAAGGGAAGAAAACCCAAAACAGAAGTTGGAAAAGGAAGTGCTTAAAATACGGCGGGAGAAATCTCAAGACCAATAACAGTGTTAACTACATGGACTTTTGATTTAATCTAGAAACATTTTTTTAATTGAAAAAAAATTTCATTGTATTATGTTTTTGTCTTTTTATTGATTTTGTTTGGGTTTTGTGTATTGGGCATTTTTTTGTTTGTGTGTGAATTTCGAAATTATAAAATTATACATGATCTTTTTCTTATACCGAGGTATTGCCTTTCATGTCAATTATAATTCATGTTCATGTTTAAAATATTGATGACAGTGGAAGTCATGTTTCAAAAGGAGGGACCGATGTAATGTTTTTGTTTATGTATGTAAATATGCTACAGTTGTTCATAAAATAGGATATTATTTTTGTTTATTTGATAAGCCCTAACCATGGTACCTGATTAGCACCCTTATCTTGGAAGTCTAATTAGTGTCCTAATTATGGTGCTTATCAGATGCCCTAAATGTATCAACTGTCTTGACACCTAACAATGGTGCAGAGGCCCTAATACTTGGAGCTGATTGCCCTAATAGGAGCCCTAATGATGGAGCCGATTGCCCTAACAGGGTGCCCTAATGATGGAGCCTAACGCCCTAACAGGTGCCCTAACGATGGAGCCTAATGCCCTAACTAGGTGCCCTAAATCACGTTAGGTGTCAGACAGGGTATATAAGGAGAGACAGAGTTAGCGAGTTGAAACACATTGCTTGTACTGGATTGTAAACTACGTTTGGATATTATTAATACATTTGTTGAAACGAACTCCGTCGTTGTTCTGATGTTAGATCTATAAAGATCTAGATTTCCTGAATTTATACACGGGATCCACAATATTTTGTGATTTGAAATTTTTAGTTTTTAACAGGAAAATAAAGTACCGGTCAAAAAATAGAAAAAATAGAGAAACCTGAGGTTTGAATGCATATTATAGGTAATTTTATAGCTAGAATATTTTATGGGTGCATTTGGAGGGAATTGGTGGCCTTGTATATTTTATTGAAATATGACACTTTAGTGTCACTACTACTGTATATGGGATATGGACTAGAAATACGAAACTATGCTCAAAACTCGCTCTACCGGTATTTCACCAGAAAAGCGGGGTGGGTTCACAGGATGAATTGTAGCTTGAAAACGAGGTGGTTGAGCCATTATCTCTTGCTGTTCATTGGTATGTACAAATGTTATTCTGCAATTTGTGTGGTAGCTTAGGTCAGGCGCACGGGCCTGGAAGCAGATGCGGCTGCGGCGAAATAGTGAAAATAGGCTTGATTCACATGAAATTTTGAGATTGTCCCTGCGCCATCTTTAGGGCTCATTGTGTAAGTTGTACATGTTTTATTCCTAAAAGCTTCAAATTTCTCAAGGGACTACATCATACTATTATTACATGTAGAGGGAATTTAAAATTTTTCAATGCACATTTTTAAAGCAGCTCAATATTAAGTAAACCGTCAGTCAAACGTTTTGATTGCAAAAAAAACTATCCTCTGCCACCTTCAAGAATGCATCAATTTTTAGAAATGTGAATTTTAGTCTGATTTTTATACAAAAGGGTTTATTTATGTAAGTCAATTTAAAAAAATACTTTGTTTCTGTTATTTAAAATCTGTACAGTTAGGTATATTCACTAAAAAGCAAGGGGGGTTACTCTTTTCCAGCATACATTTTTAAAGACTTTGAACCATCAGCATAATAAATCATATAAGATTCAGGCATTTTTTGCCAGAGAATAAATTAATTGTTTGAATTTGATACTTTGGGTATTGTCGCATAATTAAAATCATGTCTTGCTTTAATTAATTAAATCTAATTAAAATTTAAGTGTATTAATTAGTGCGATATCACTGAAATTACATATATTTGCCATTTTTTCAACCTAATTTACTAAATATAATTATTTTGAAAATAAAAATCAGTCAGCATACCTAAATGTCACTAAACCTAACCATATATAGTACAAAAAAACTTTTTTTGCTTTATTTTTCCAAATTTAACCTATTCTGTTATTGATATTTTCATGAAATATGCCCCCCCCCCCTTTTCAATTTTTAAATTTATCTATATTTAAATGTGACAGAATCTAAATTTTTGAATAGTTTGCTATAAAATGACTATTTTTCTTTGAATAATAACAAAACAAAGAGTTTATATTGCATATTTAATGAAGTAATATCAATAAAATGTGCATTTTCATGTAATTATTGAATTCTGCTAGGCCCATATAATCTGCCCACAATTGCCCAGGATGGACAGAATAATCACTTTTAGTATTCAGGAGAATGAAATGTATGTATTTGATTACTCATAACTGTTAAAAGTGAATATCAGACACTTAGAAAGAATTCAGCTAGGACAAACAAATTTTTACAGTGCATTTTCATTACACTGAAGAAATGGCTGCAGGGGTAGGGTGTTGAACAGCCATTTCCTGGACACTTTTTCTTTAGCATATGATGCAAGAGGGTTTTTTGCATATCATGATAAATATCTTGAAAGTTGAAAGGGGTTTTAACTTTGCAAAGAAGTTATAGGTATATAAAACCAAGTGAAAAAGAGATAAAATGGAATTTCATAGAACATGAAAAATAGGGGAGTATGTGATACATGTGAGTACATTTCACCAAGATGTGCCCTTTATATTTGACTTTTTACATATAAATGTATTTGAAATAGATTAAAATTACCATTTAACACTTTTTTGCTGGTATATTTATCATCTGGAGTTGTAAGAATTGCATTTGTTTTATGTGTAAGAAACAATATGGGGTTAAGGTGGTTGACCGAGAATTGGTGAGGTCTCTTATTTGGCCATAACTTTTTTATTTTTCAATGAATCAAGACATATTTGGTATATTTTTACTCAGAATTGCATGTTCTTTTTGAATTGAGCAAGGTTTATTACTTGCAAGACAAACTTTGAAAGTTAAAGGTGGCAGAGGATAGTTTCGAATAAAGTACCGGTCAAAAAATAGAAAAAATAGAGAAACCTGAGGTTTGAATGCATATTATAGGTAATTTTATAGCTAGAATATTTTATGGGTGCATTTGGAGGGAATTGGTGGCCTTGTATATTTTATTGAAATATGACACTTTAGTGTCACTACTACTGTATATGGGATATGGACTAGAAATACGAAACTATGCTCAAAACTCGCTCTACCGGTATTTCACCAGAAAAGCGGGGTGGGTTCACAGGATGAATTGTAGCTTGAAAACGAGGTGGTTGAGCCATTATCTCTTGCTGTTCATTGGTATGTACAAATGTTATTCTGCAATTTGTGTGGTAGCTTAGGTCAGGCGCACGGGCCTGGAAGCAGATGCGGCTGCGGCGAAATAGTGAAAATAGGCTTGATTCACATGAAATTTTGAGATTGTCCCTGCGCCATCTTTAGGGCTCAT